GTGTGCCTTCAGATAATCAGATGGAAGCCCAGGCCATGGCACCAACCTCCCACTGTCCGCACTTGCACAGCCATGAAGATCTAGAACAAACTCAAACCACGGGGAGCTGGGAAAATGCCACAGTTTGAGTTAGTGATCTGTTCTTCATGTCTGGTCACATGTGCTAGAATACTTGCTGTAAACAGAACACAAACCATCGCATGTTCAAGACAGACTTATAAGACCAGAACACGTCAGCTGCTGAGAGCTTCCTTTCCCAACGTGGCAACCAATGTCTTTACTCCATGATGATAAATGTCCAAAATACAGAAATAGATTAAATATGGAGCTAAGACCAGGCCCTGGGGTGTTTTACTCACGAAGGCAGGGGTATGGTTACAGGAGACTGGTGGGGGACAGCTATCTACCTGCTCATATTCATCCTGAGGCCACAGTGCAGTTGGGGAACCCAGTGCAGTAGGACACAGAGGCAGATAAATGGACCAGGAGCAGAGTGTTCAGTAGAAGTTACCAGGGTTTACAAATAATGAGGCAGAAAGAAAAGAATGCAGTGTCCCTGGAGAAAAAGAATTAGGAATTGAAAAAGTATTAACATATGTTCTCTCAGAAGAGGAGGGCAAATAGAAAGGGATAACTAACACTAAAGATCTTTGACAAAAACAGAGGAAACTTATTACTATAGAATCTTCCTAAGAAGGTAAAAATGAATTTAAATGTAGCAAGCATACATGGAGGGGGCAGTGCTTCTCCCAGATACCATAGGCTACCAAATACAAAGCTCAGTGTGTAACATCGGCTACCTGTTTTGTGTTCTTGGGTCACTGGGATCTCATAGACCCCTAAACATTACAGGTTATTACCATTACTCATGGTTAAGCTCCAGAATTGTCAGTAAGTCCCTAGTTCTGAAAGCACCACACAGCTGTGAGTCCTGCAATCTATAATAATGAATTCTCTACCAGGACATACCCACTGGTGCAACAGTGGCACAGGTGTTATAAGGGTGACCAGTAACTTCCTGATTACATGTGCCACAAGACCAGACTCACGCCTGGTACTGTTAACTGAGCTAAAAATCCCGTAGCTGGCTAGGACACAGGCCCTAGTGGGAGAAGGTAATTTTATTATTCTGATAACTGGACAGAGTAATAAATTGTTCCTAAGTGTTCATCTTTATACTTATAGAATGGTACATCTCTCAGTTCTTATCAGAGAGCCTCCTTTTGCAGTAGTTGTTGATGCGAATAGACCAAAAACTAGCTGACATTCAGAGATTAAGAGATTGTGCAGTGCTCAGCTGTAAATGACAATTCTATACCTCAACTCTCTTCCCACGGCTGAGTGATATTGCAGAAGAGGGGAGGGGAATATTGTAAGAGATGGAGATAGTGAACATCAGACACTATTTGCTGGACGTGGTGCGAATGTTGCATACATGAACTCTCATTGAGACCAAGGAGGCCATAGGAGGGTGAGCAGAAGGCATACAGTGAGGTCATGGAGCAGAGAAAGGAACAGGCAGAGACATAAAGGATCTCTTTCCATTTTCCTGAGAGCTTGTTAAATTTGTAAATACTCTGAATGATATTAACATCCCAAAGCTGTTTAGATTGATTATCTAGTGGATGTAGAGCCCAAGTCTGGGTACTGTAGTGAATGAGCCTAGGAAATTTGATGTTTGAGTGCTGTAGTCGTTGGAGATTCTGGAGGAGACATCCCAAAGATGATGAGTCACAATGGAGAGGATAGAGCCCATCACCCTTGGTGGTAGTGGGTCAAATTCAAGATACCAGGTGTTTCTGTGTCTCTTGAGAGACAGAGGAGAGGGTCAATAGTCAAGAGACCAGGTGTCCCTGTGAATGTCAAGAGCAGAGTAGCAGTCATCCAGGCTCTGTAACCCAGAGAAGGACCCAGGTAAGTCCGAGGATGAATCTGAGACCTTTCAACAGGTTTTTTTTAAGAGGAGCAGAGGGCACCAGATTCCAGCAGTGTGACAACCAAGCGTGAAAGGGAAAAGTCCCCACCACAGAAGATTGGACGAATGTGCCTAGCTAGCAGCCAGTCCAGGGGAGCCCAGGGAAACCACTGAACTTCTTTGTGGGGTGCAGTCTCCCCAGGCCCACAAAACAGAGTGCGGACACTAGACATTTGGTGATTGTCACCCAATAACCTGGGAACTGTTTAGAACAACCAAGGTGAGGGCCTTACAGTCATCTGTTGGGTGAGGGAATCCAGAAGGACTTGGGTGTGTGAAAAAGAACTGGGTGATAATGGGCCAAATGAGTCCTAGAACCAATGAGGAGACCTCTGCACAGAGGGAGTGCTCTTTCCCAAACCAGATTAGGCACAAACCACACTCAATACCTGTTTTCAGAGAGATCCTTTATTATGTGGGGAAGAAAAGCTAAAGTGGCTGCCTTCTGATTAGGTGGAGAAACAGCAGCAAATGACCATGGAGGTGTCATCCTTATGAGGAAAACGGCAGTTCTGTGTCAGAGTGGGCTAGGATGAGGTGGTATATTTTAGTAGGGCATGTTAATTAGTGGGTCAGAGGGGCTTTTGATTGTTGGACATTAATACTTTGGTGTCTGGAACATGGTAGTCAGCCTCAGGAGGAGGCAAAAAAACAAAATAAGGGAATAGACCTTGGTGGCCAGCCTTAGGAATGTAATCTAAAGATTATCAGCAAGGCAGAGGGAACTAGGGAGAAGGGCAGTTCCTGCCAGAGCCCACGCTAGAGTGGGCTTGAGTCCCTTTTGTTAGTGTGTAGCTACAAGTACAGGATCATCAGTTACACACCAACACATGTAGCTGTAGGCTGACCCCTATACAGACACACAGAGACACACATGCAAACACTTCCACAAACATATATGTATCAGGGACAGTGCCTTGTCTCTTCTGTTGTACCAGGATGATTATCTCCTATAATTTCCTCTGTAACTAAAGAAAGGACCCCTTGTTCCTCTCAGAGAGTGGAGGTGTCTTAGCTCTGAGGTGAGCAGATTTGGGTTTCGCAGACTCTGTTCCCACATGTGGCCCCAACTCTCTTTTTCCTTGCCAGTCTCACTGTGAAATCAAGGCTCTAAAGGAATATATTTGCCCAGTGTCCTGTTATCCAGGGACAAAGGTGGTTGCTGTCCTCTCTCCCCTCCTCAGCTCACAATACACTGGCACGAAAAAAGGAGTCAGGGCTTCCGGGTGCTGAAGTCAGCTGCTCTGCCCCAGTTCTCCAACTCCTAGAATTGTGCTGTGACTCCCACAGTGAAACCAAGGAGGAGTTTATGGTCAGGGCATAGGCAGGACACCAGTAAGACTGTGACAGGATGTGTATGGTAGGGAGAAGGGATGGCTGTGTCTCGGCAATAAGAGACAGAGTCTCCAGACGGTAGCATCAGCTCCTCTCCCGGTCTCTGCTCACCCTGCCATTCTAACCTGTCAGGGGAATAAATAAACCCGACTCTGGGGACTGAAATGCCGCAGTCTGAGTAGGCAACAGTGGATTGTTATCAGTGAGCACACTGGCATGACATATTTAAGGGTGTTTAACTTTGATTGGTCATGTTGATTAGGGCAGCTTTTATTTGCCATACTCCAATACTTTGATGCCTGGACCTTGGTAGTCAGCCTAAGGAGGAGGAAATGCCAAGTGCCGGAATAGACCTTGGTGTCTCGCTTTGGGAATGTAACCTAAGGTTTTTTAGCAAGGTCGAGGGAATGGGAGAGAAGGGCATGCCCTGCCAGAGCCATGTATACCATGCTCGTGCAGGCTAGTGAGTATCCTTTCACTGGCCATGTCAACCTTTGACAACTTCCTTCTGCAAAACGGCAGCAGCAGCTTTCCTCTGCGATCAGAAGTATTGGAACACACTCAAATACATCAAAGACTGAGCTAGTGTTGGGCACTGTTGTTTTATACAGCAAGGCAGGGCTGCGTATTTCAGGGAGGTGGAAGGTACATCTGTGCATATTCTCACATTCATCTTCAGACCACAGCATAGGGATGGGCGCCTCTGCAGCAGGACACAGAGGGACGTAAGTGGACAACAGAAGCAGACCATTCAGCAGATAGTGTCATGAAGGAAAATTTCAAACGCAACAAGCTATCAATGCTCATTCTCTCGTGTGTGCCAGTGGGTGAATTGAATATGGGAAAGTGTTCAGTAGAGGCTGGAAAGAGGGTAGAGGAGTTTGGATCACAGGAACCTAAAGAGGTAGATGGAAGGAATAGTCCAGTTTGCAAAAGCACATCAAAGTGGCTAGTTTAAAATAATTTTTCATACATTTTATGAAGAAGCCAAATGGTGGTGCTCAAACACTTCAATGACACACACCAACACTAGGGTACCAGAGAACCTTGATGTGGTTAGTGCCCTTGATGATTAGCATTGATAACTTAACAAAATCTTGAGTCTCCTGGGATGCTCTGGGCACCCCTGCTGGGGTTGCCTTGATTATGTTAATTGTGGATGAAAGGAGACCTTGGACTGTGTCAAGTGAAGGAATGAGCTGGGTATTAGCATAAATGTATCAATTGCTCTCTACAGTCTCTGTGGATGTGACAGGTCCAGATGCTTCTAGTGCCAGCCATGACTTCCCTGCCATGGACTGGAATAAACACGTTATCCACTGTTGCTTTTGTCAGGGTTTTATCTTAGCTCCAGCAGGAGAAACTAAGGAAGTATACATGACATGCATGTATCAAAATGATGCATTGTCCTCTTTCATTTGAACATATCATCTGTGAATTAAAATACTTAAAATGGTTATGGATATGGAAAGCATAACCACCTATATTTGGTCATATTGTGTTGAACACCTATGCTAAGTTTTCACACTGTACCTCATGGAAATACAACTTACCATCTCTCTATATATCTATATATACACACATACACACACATATATATATATATGTCTTCAGATATACATATCATTATATACACACATATGTATGTAAAGACTAGAGTATAAAGAAGTAAAGATATTCATGTTTATTGGACAGATAAATTTTGCGTGGGAACCAGGCCAGATTGTACCATCCAGATGCACTAACCATTGGTAGAGTGAGCTGAAGCTGTATTTATGTGACACTAAAGTTTGAGTGAGGAGACACATTGAACAAATTCCACATGGTGAATTACATCAGCCAAGTCTTTGAAGAAGATCCAACAACACCAAAAGAAGAGAGGCTTCTTGCTCCAGGCTGTTTGGATACAAGTTACAGCATCAATTTCTCCACGCATGTCTGGGTTTTCAGAAAGAGAATAAGCTATGGATACAAGAGTATTATGTTTGAAATCTGAAATGAGTTCCACAGACTCCTGTATTTCATGCTGTGGGGCCTAGGGCAGTGCTGTTAGTAGGTCTGGAGCCCAGGACTGTGAATTCCTTGCCTCGTGTCCTCTAGCCTTGTCTGCTTCTTCTCTGTTGTCTCCCAGATGACCTTCTGCTTGGATGGACCCCACCGCTTCTGCCACCTGCCACCTCTGGAAAGTGACCTGCATTTCTCTGACTCTGGGACAAAGCAGGCCTTCCTCCCGTATGTTGTTTTATCGCGTGTGTGGGTCACCACACACAGAAGTCACTAATGTCATTGTGGTGTGGACATGGACAGAGCTGACAGAGGACACAGGCCTGACCAATGCCTCTGGTTTTCTGTAGGATTCCAACACTGACCTAACATTTGCTTTATTTTTTGCCCCTGGGATGCCTTGCCTGCATCTCTCCTCTTCTGGTGGGAAAGCTATCAGTATGGAAATTTCACAGGGGCTTTAACCAAGAGACCAGTCAGGTGTCTACCCTAGTTTCTTCTCTGTGGCTGTGACAAAATTTCCTGCAAAGCAATGTAAGTAAGGCAGCCAGGGCTTCTCTTTGGTCATAAGGTTGTACTGCCCTCTATTGGGGAGGTCACAGCAGTAGAGGACTGAGAGAGTTGGTCCTATTTCAAACACAGTCAGGAAGCAGAGATGGGTAGAAAGCATTCAAGTTCAACTACCCTTACCCACTTTATGCAGTTCAGAATCCTCTGTCTTGGGAGGAGGGACCTGCTTGCCATTAACATGGTCTCTTGATGTCAGTGATATAATGAGATAAAATCAAGTAATCAAGATAATATCTCACAGGGATTCTCAGCGGCTCATCTCACATTTGACTCTAAATTCTGTCAGACTATCAGAACATCTATACCATGAATGGTCAGCAGAGTGGTAGGACAAAGCAGTTGTCAAAAGCTTCACATCCTGGCTCCAATCAAATGAGAGCAAGGATCAACGGTGTCTTGGGGTTTCAGAGAAAAGCACTCAAACAGGTTTTTGTTTGTTTGCTTTTATTTTGATTTTTGGAGAGACAATCTATAATCAATGTTTTAGTTTTCAATCACATAGTATGAATTTCTAGTATGCTCATCTTGGCCAATGATGATATGAAATAGAAGTCATTATTTCATGGGCCATGAGGATCATGTTAATTCATCTATTTTTTTTTCTTAACCAGGCTGCTCCTGGATGGAGTTTCATTAATGGTCCCAGTCCCCACCTGTTTTGCTCATCTTGTGTGGGGCTCACACCTCTTAAGGAGGTGTGTTTATCTACATATTGTTGGGGATCAGATGCCCTCAAACAAGTAACAAAGCAGATTTGGCTCTGAGAATGCAAAACCGTATGGAGACTTTCTCAGGGGCAAAGGATCCAGGAGTCATTAGACCATAAAATAACAAATCCAATCAATATTTTCATGTGTGCTTTACATACTTTGGAAACAAGGTTTCCTCACACATTTGTACAATGTTGCTGACTCTTCTTTTTCTACTACTCCAGCATAATTGAGTACTTGCAACAGTGATCTTCTGGTTCCCTAAGAGGAAAAGGATGAACATTCTAGCATTCTACAGGCAAGGTTTGTTATTCTGGAAAGGTCATGTGTCAGTGTCCAAAACAAGGCCAAAAGTAAACACTGAATGGACCTTGTGCCTCATTTTTCCATCATTCCCAGAAATCGGGGGGCTTAGATATATTTGGTCCCATCTTCTCTTTAAAAAGATCTTTCTTGTTAAGAAGAGCTATGGCATCATTTGCTGCAGCATCAATAAAGACATTCTGCAGATAGTAAGACTTCTTGTAGTAATAAACAGCACCACCTAGTCCACCAATAATACCCAAGGAAACACGTTCAATATAATTCTGTAGTTTTTTTAGTAAGGACACATCATCATCTTCTGCAAACAAACGGGGAAACGAAAGGTGTTCCTTCAGTTCATTCACAGATATATTAAAATCTTTAGCAATCTTTTGCAATGAGGCATCATCCAGTCCAAAGTAAGACCTGAATTGATTGAATGTTTCATCCAGATCCTCTAACTCATCCCTGATCATGCCAACAAATGGAATGGTGGCCCATGCTCCACTCTTCAGGGCCTCTAGAAAGACCTTCTGCTTTAGGAAATCTCTCTTGAGGTTAATGGCCTCCTTGGTAACACTGTTCAAAGATAGCATGAAGACATAGCGTTTTTTGTCTGGGAGGTCCTTTAGGAGTTTTTGTTCCAGAATTGGGAAGTCATACTCAGACGTTTCAAAGTTAGAGACTAAGAAGATTTGAGGCTCACCTGAGAGAACCTCCTTGAGTTGCTGTGAACAGTCTTTCCGGATTTTCTTTAGGACATTCTCCTTATTGAATGTCTTGGGTTTACTTTTCTTTTCATTATATAATTCATTATCTATCTTTGTTCGGACAAAGTAGAAATTCATTTTCATCCTTGAGATGGCTTTGGCTAGCTGGGCATCATTTTCTTTGAAGCGTGAAGCTGAGATGATAATGAAGAAGTCATACTCATGAAACCTCATTTCTTTTAGGTAGTTTTCTGGTGTGAAAGAAGAGGACCCAATGCCAGGCAGGTCCCATAGTGTCACCTGGGGAAGCTTTGGATGTGGGTATGGAGTTCTCGCCATGGTTGTCTCTGTCACCCCGGTGGGGGCTGCACCTTCATCTTCCTGTCCGACCCCTCTTATGGCATTGATGAACGTGGACTTCCCTGTCCCTGTCTCCCCTGTCACAGCAATGTTCAGGGGGGCATTCTCGATGTCTTTCAGTGCATTGTTGATTACAGAAAGTGCTTCCTGGAGGTTATTGCTCTTGATGTGGGTTTTAATCAAGGTGATGGTTTCCTCAGAGAGGATTTGGCTTTCCCTCTTAAAATTATTAAAGAATGCATTAATGCTGGAGGCCCAAGCCATGGCTCTGTATGTAGAAGCTGAATGAAGCAGAGAGGAGAGAAATCGTAATCATTAATAAAGCAGGGCAACATCTTGTTGTAGGCTGGTTCAGTAAAGCAGGACCCTATACCTTGTCCCACATCAGAGCCAGAATTGCCTTTCTTCTCTCCTCTTGGTCGCTGCTTTCACTCCTGACCTGGTTATAAAGAGGCATCTTCCTCACACTTCACTTCCTCCTAGGAATTTCCTTGCACTTCTTGGTCTAATTCAGACTCCACTTACTCTGTGATGTTACCCATTGCAACCTTTATTATCAGTTTGGTGTCTCCTTTCCATTCCGTTCTTTTCATTAAAATGACACCCATACATGGTGTCAACCCTAGAAGGACATGCCGGAAGGAACGTTTCTCCTGACAGGGTCCTCAACCTTATGTGAACCCTTTCGTAATTTGACTGTAGGTCCTCAAGGCCCCAGGTTCTTTGCATGGTTATTATTTATTTTCCCACATTCTTGTTGCTTTAGTGGCCACCTTTGAAGACCCTCGGTCTTCTTCTTCCCTTCTACCACTTCTACTCTCTTCCCTGTTCTGTCATCTCCCCAGGACCTTAGAGATCACAGCATCTCACAGTTGAGATTTGAAAGTGAAAAGTAAGTCAAACTAGCTGCCCCTGTCTCGGAATTGCTTTTAAAATGCATGCATGTGGAGGTCAGAGTGATGCAGTCGAGGGGTCTAGGAATGGGCTTGTTCTGTGCGTTTGTTTCTGTCAAGCATTAAAATTTAAGAGATGAGTCCTAGTGGAGCCACCATGGGACACCTGGGAAGTGAGGGTTCCCTCTTCAGCCTTCCTAGTCTTGCTAATAAAACAATACAAGAATGAACTCAAACAGAAGATTGAGTTGAAAAGGAACACCTTAGGACAAGAAGATGTAAATCTCATGCTGTCTGGAAGGGAGGAGAACACCAAGGAGAGGGAACAAGAGCTATGCTGCAGCACAGAGGTCACCCACTGAGCACTGGGCAGCAGGCGGCCACAAGGTGAGGGAGTAGCATAGGAAAAGGAATATGGAAGCCCACACTGTTAGTCATGGAGGCTAGAAGCATACTCAGGCTCTGACCAGCATCTGAAAGGGAAAGACAGAGGCAGAAGGAATAGGTAAATTTCTGAGTTGGGCCTCAGTAAGGTGGGACTATGCAGGTGAGTTCTCTCTTTCCATCTTTATGTGGTTTCCGGGGGTAAACCCAACACATGGTTATTTTATAATGAAGACTTGACACAAGACAAGGAACAGATGAGACTGAATTGAAAAGAGATGTTCAAATAACCGTTATTTCCCTTTCTTCTCATAGAAGAGGAGGGACACGGTCTCCATGAAAGTCACACTACTCAGAGAGATACCCTGCCTCCTGGTGTTCAGATGCTCAGTGCTATGCGTCACTGTCTTCAGTTCTCCCGGGTGTTTAGGTCAGAAATCAAAACAACTAAGAATCTCAGCTTCCACACCAGGAACTGAGAGGGACATCCTGGGAGAATTCTGACAAGCATCTTTCATAATGCTGACAGATTTGTAAGGTCCTAACATTTCTCTAAATCACACTTACTCAGAGACTCCAGAAAACACCGGGATTAACTTGGGGAAAGAGTAACATTTACAGAAAACGTCTACATTGAGAATCTTATTATTTCATATTTACCTAAAGTTATATACGTAAACATATGCATATTTATATCTTTTAAATGAAGTTATGCAACATGCCTGATAATTCCTCCCATCTGAGTCATAAAGTAACAGAAACTTCATTGTCAGACATGAGAAACTTCTCTTGAGTTGTGGGTCAGGAGAGTCCAGGATACTCCTCAAACAGCACAGACTCCTGCTGTTGCCCTTGCTTGAGCACCAGAAGTTGAAGGGCGCTGTCCTGAAGACACAGCACACTTCAGATAAAGGACACATAGAAATCAAGCTGGATCTGAACCAAAGTCTCCTCCTCAAGACCCAGCTTCCCTAACATCAGAAGGGGCTATGAGAGTTTCCAAGGGAGGAGAATGTTCCATATTCCTGCCCAGATAGGACTTCCGTGAGCCACAGTGATGATCATCACACTGAGGTAACTAAAGGTGCAGGGGTGGCATTTATGTATTGGTGGTGATCCACACCTGTCTAAATGTGCATCAGGCTGGCTGAACAAGAAGGAAATCGTGCATGGTAACTGAGAATCTAACCAACCACCTGCTGTTAGTGAGGTCACAGATCTCAGAGGAGAACCCACTATGGCCACTTTCCTATCCCAGAATATTTCTGTTTTCCAAACACTTTTCTTTACTCACAGGTACACGGAGCTCTCTCTAACCACCAAAGATGCTTCTTTTCACAGCAGTGAGAGATCACTTCAGAAAGCACAACTGGTCACAAAGCAGAGAACAGCTGACTTTGCGGTGCCCAGCCTCACTTGATGGCATAAGCCTTAACCTAAGAGAGAGAAAACACTGAGGAGGAGGGTGCAGAAGACACAAGGATAGGAAGACCACACAGTCCAATGCAAGACTGAGTCTTCTGGATATGACCAAGATACACATGAAACCTCAACATTATGGCCTTTTACACAAGACCTGAACACTGATACCAACAGTTGATGTGCCAAAGTGGGTGTGGGAAATTGTGTGGGTTGTCACACTTAGATGAAGAGTCACAAGTATAAAAAGTTGCAGAAGGACAGAAGTAGTCTCACCCAAAAATGAACTCCCTAGTTGATAATTCAATCCCAAATGTTCAACCCTAATTTCTGTCTGTCTATCTGTCTGTCTTTTATCTATCTATCTATCTATCTATCTATCTATCTATCTATCTATCTATCATCTCTCTGTATATCTATCTATACAAGCTGTACTAACAGCAACAAGTGGAGTTTATGTATTTATTTGTTAAGAGATATGTCATAGTAATGAAGAGTTAGAGAGCATACATCTGAAAGGAAATAGGAGGTATGGAAGGGACTGCAGGGAGGAGAGGGAGAAGGATTCTCTTATATTTTGATAAACTAAAGGACCCTTGCTTCATAGTAAACATTTAAATTAAACAAAATTAAAATTAAAAAAGGAAGAAAGACTACTGTCAGATGCAAGGGCATTGAGGGGACCATCCTCCAAAGAATGTAATTCACTGCATCTATCTAAGGACACTGCAGTGATGTCCCTAAGCCAGCCAGGGTTACATTGTAGGACATTGTCTTCAAACATTGATCAGAGCCTGCCTGACCAGCTGCCTGCTTCATGAGATTAACACTTACATACTAGTGCTGGTGGCTGTCAACCTTCCTGCATATCCACTACCTATCCCATGAGGTGATTCCCTATGCCTCAGAGACTTCAGGTCCCCCAGCTCCAGTGCCTGCCTGGCCTCTTGGCCACCCAGTGCCTGACCTGTCAGAGTTACCAGCTGTCTACCCACCTACTCACCCAGGGAGGTCAGAATTCCTTCCTTTGAGCCCTAGACATCCAAGTTCACCTGACCCCTATTGACCACCCCATGTATCAGAGCCTTCAAAGCCCACCAACTGCTTCCCATTATAAAAGAAGTAAGGAGGTAAATATATACAAAAGAAAATCTAACCAGTGATCAAAGAATACATGAACACAAAAACTTGGTTATCTGAAAACCTAAGACAGCTCGTCTTCTCAAAAAAAAACAAAACAAAACAAAACAAAAACAAAACACTCCAGAGTAATGGTCTTCATGAGAATGACTTAGATAAAGTTTCAGATGAAGAATTCACAAGGATGATGTAAATGTAATCAAAGAAAGAAGATTCAAGCAATCATTTGAATTACAGACAAGTCAACACAGGGCATGAAAATGAAATTCAATAATGAGAAATACTGAGCAAAATCTTGACTTAAATGAAGCTGGAGATGAAAATGCATTAAAGCAAATGCTCAGAGCAAAGACTCACGATCAGATGATAATGGAGGAGGGAATGTCAGCAGTGAGGACAATGTAGAGGAATGGGAAGACTTGGTCAGGAATGACCATAAAAATAAAAATAAAAAACAACTGTATGGGCAGCCTATGTGTGACCTTTGCAACACCATGAAACACATCCACAGAGAAGGAGAAGAACTCCATTCCAATGGCATAAAAAATATTCTCGATGAACCCTAGCAAGAATGTCTCCAAATTTAGGGAGAGGAATGCACATCCAGACAGATACAAAGGTTTGTAGAGCTCCAGATATACAGAGCAGGAAAAGAAACTCCTGAAGTCATATCACAGTTAAACCCAAGTGGTCTGCAAACTGCAAGAGAGAAACAACAGAAAGTGTAAAGATGGAGCCATCAGAGTAACAACTGACTGACAGCAGATTCCTGAAAGCCAGGGGGTCAACTGCTCTTCCAGACACTGTGGATGGTTGTTTCTCATCTGGGATTTTATCTCCATGATGAACAGTAAAGACTCCAAGAGCATCTGGGTATCCCAGCCTGCTGTCTTCCTCCAAGCTCAACTTCTTCAGAAGATCATCTAGGTCCACACAAGCAGGTGGAAGGAAGGGCTGCTGCTTCTCTGCTTTGGGATGCTTTTGGCACAGAAGATGACACAGAAGGATGCTACTGTGCCTGCTCCCTGAGTGAAATCCCCAAGTTCTCCTGCCCTGGAGTCAGTGCTCCCCCTTTCACATTATCACACACGTAGGGCTATTGGCCAAGCTGAACTTAGAACCCTTCACTCACCTCAGCAGTGGTGACCTTGATCTGAGGGCAGTGGCGCCTCTGGGAACGTTCTCCTCTTAGGAGAAGTCTGTGCACTGCAGCAAGGGCAGTTGCCTTGGAATGCTCTAGAACTGGAATTCAGACTCAGGATGTTCAGGAAGAAATGAGGTGAAGTTTAGAGTTCTGAGTCCTAGGAAGAACTGCCTGAAGAGAGAAAGACCACTTGGAGTGGACAGACTGATCTTGACTTTCACTGTTCCTTTATCGCTGTTGGTCCACAAATAGCCCTTGCTATCTACATTTTCTGGGCAGATATGAGCTCTGCTTATATAAACCACACAACAGGGAGAGGCTGCAGTCCAAATCGGTTTCAGTTTCTATTCCTAGAAATGACTGGTTTGCATGAAACAACTGGGAGATCCTTTAGAGAAGGTGGCAGATGGGTCATAATGATTGAGGTTGTCTAACTAAGTCTGTGGCGTGGCAACGATAGCACAGTTCCGGGTCTGTAGTAGAGATCCGCGTCTGACCCTCTGGCTTCCCCACTGGGGACTGCTGACTCATGTGTGGGTACCTATCCCGAGGTAAACAATGCTTCTGTTGTGGGTCCTGAGTCAGTAACAGATTTACCAGTCAGACTTAAATTTTGGTTATTGCAAATTAGAGACTTTTAAGTAAAAAGAAATCTGCCAGGAAGAAACCAGAGAGAGTTCTCTAGGTAAGGCTCTGGCTATTGTTAGCAAAAGGATTACAAAGGAAAAAACCCACGGAGTTACAATTTTGGGAAGCTAAATTAAACCATAACGTGTCCGGGTGTGGGCTAAGCTTGATCCTGTAACAGACATCCTGCAGATGCTTCAACCATCCACACAAGCATGCATCTCATACAAAAGCTGAGCAGTTAGCCTGTTTAATCTGTGACCCATTACCTTGTAGGAATAGCTGAGGAATTGAGATGTCAAATAGCCTATTCTTTTTTCTTTTCCTAAGAGAATAACCCAACTGTTCCAAGAAGTGTTCCCTCTGGGGCCAGCTGAAAGGATGCATTCAAGGTAGAAGCAACTTCCTCATGGCTTTAACAAGCTGAAAACACTTTGTTTTTACATGATTAACACAGAAAATTTATCCTCTAAACACAATGTTCACCATCACAATTTGATGCTGGTGAGTCCTGGCGGTTAGATAGCTACAGACCCTCACAATGGCCTTGCCCACTGAGGTCTTGCCCATTGTGTTTGTTGTCTACTTGCTTGCTTGCCATAGCCTCACCTACTAAAGTCTTAAAACAAGAAAACGGTGCAATGAAGAATTTTTGTTCAGAACTCTGGCCTTGTAACATTTGTTTGAATGTAGAAGTGTGTCTGATGCAGGTGATGGGGGAGATCACAGTCTCCTCACAGCCTGGAGTCAGCTGAGCAGACAGCAAACTTCTGACTGCAATCAGAGACTAGGTGTTCTGGCCTTGCCATGGAAGCACCAACAATCAAGTGATATTCCCACAGGGAATGCAGGAGGATTTTCCCAGCAAAAGGTGATGTGGGGAGCGTGGACCAGGAGCCATGTTCCTTTCAGATGGTTAGAACCTATTGACAGAGACAGCTGCAGAGTTTTCCTTCTCTCTCTACACTGGGGCTCATCTCTCCAGGCTCCCCAGAGGCTCTCTTCAGCCTCTGCTCTCCCCAGTCTCTGCTCTCTCTGGCTTCTCCTCTCTTTGATACTTTCTTCAAGAAGGGCACTCTGTGCAGCTTTTGGCAACTGTGCTCTGGGCTGCAGTGAACAGCAGACTCAGTGCTCTCTGCTTTTGTGGAAACTTTGGCCCTGGTTATTTACAGCAGAAACTCTTTGGGGCTGGTGAGTGAGAAAAGCCTTTGTCTTGACAGTGACCTGGGTGTCAGCTCTGTGGGCAGAGGGCAGAGCTGGCTTGGCTAAGCAACAAGTCATGTCATCATCTTTACACAGAAGGAAGTCGTGGGTCTGGAGCTGTTGTTTGGTGCTGGTGGAGCTGTGGAGTTGTGGAAAACTTTGGACCGAGCAGAATAGTTATGGGTGACTCTCCCGGAATCCATGAAGTTCTCACTGTAAAACGGCTGCCTGTTCTGAGTCTAGTGTTCCACTGCCAGGCAGCTATTGTCACAACTCTGTGAGGTTTCTATAGTTAGCAAAACTCTATGTACTGTTTCAAGGTCGGCACCTGTTTGCTGAGGTCTGACGATGTCCGCCCTGCTCTGCAAGAGGACGTCTTTTCCATTTTCACACTCAGAGAACACACCTGAGAGCAAACGTGTCTGTTGTTTAAGATGCTCACAGACCTCTCTCGTTCTAGCACTCACCTTGTATCATTAGTAATCACAGATAAAACAATTCTTCTTCCTGTTTCTGCTCTCTCTCCCTGCTCTTCCTCCTCCTGGCTTTTGTCCTCCCATTCTTTCTCTTTGTGTCCTCCTCCTTCTTTGTGCTGGGATTGAAACTTGGGCTTCCCACATACGAGGTAAGAGCCCTTCTGCTTAGCTACATTCCCAGCCTTTTATTTTTTATATCTTTAATGTGATTATTCATGTCTGGGTGACTGGAAAACAAAGCACAGACTCTGACTACATAATGATGCCCAATGTTCAGCAATGTACAAACACATAAAGCCTAAGAAAACTTTTTTTTTTTTTAAAAAAAAGTCGTCCTATCCTATCAGTAGAACTATGAAACACAGCCTGCTACTACAGAGAGGACCAAGAGGTGAGTGACTACCCACCCACCTGGATGGGCACTCTACTCTTTAGGCCCTCCATTCTGGGGCAAAATCCCTGGCCCCTCCTCCACATGCCTCAGTTTCTCTAGTCAGTCAGCAGGTGAGTGTTCTGCAGGTAGGCTGCTCCGACAACCACATCCCATTCATCAAACTCTGCAAGCTACAAGTCCCACTCTGCTCCAAAACATCCTATTCCCCCTTGCCCTGTAACCTCAGGGGGATGCTGAAACACAAGCTGAAACTACACAGAGAAGACCAAGAGACAGGACCAAGAAAAGAACTCTGAAACAAAAGTGTGACTGCACAGAGTGGACCAAGAGAGCAAAACAAGAGAGCAGGTCAAGACAGCAGGCCAAGAGAGACCTCAGTGTCTCCCTGAGATACAGAAAGTGACAGTACAGAGCAGACCAAGAACAGTTCCCAAAGACACAGACAGCCAGTGCAAGAATTAGAACAAGATGGTGGCGCACGCCTTTAATCCCAGCACTCGGGAGGCAGAGGCAGGCGGATCTTTGTGAGTTCGAGACCAGCCTGGTTTACAAGAGCTAGTTCCAGGACAGGCTCCAAAACCACAGAGAAACCCTGTCTCGAAAAACCAAAAAAAAAAAAAAAAAAGAATTAGAACAAGAGGCAAAGACACTCCCATTACCAGTTGGAAGATGAGATGGGTAGGCACCAAGGCAAGAATTCATTCAACAATCTAAATTCAACGTGGTAGCACCATAACCCAGTAGTTATACAACAGGAAGAATTGATCATCCTAACCCAGAAGAAGCAGAAGAAAACTATTTAAATATAACTTTATGAGGATGATGGAGACCTTGAAAAAGGAAACGAAAATTCTCTTAAAGAAATGGAGAAAATGACAAACAAGAAATTGGAAGAAATTAAATCTCTCAATGAAACCCCTGAAACCCAAGAAGAAAGAATCAAACAAGTAAAGCAAACAGTTCAAGAACTGAAGACTGAAACAGAGGCATTAGAGAAAACACAAACTAAGGCAATTCTGGATATGGAAAATCTGGGTAAATGAATGGAAACTATGGAAGCAAATAGAAGCAAAAGAATTCAAGAGATAGAAGCTAGAATCTGAGGTTTAGAAGATTGTAACAAGGAGGGGTCCACTTGTTCATCGTGGCTGCCCAGCTAGCTTAGCCCTGAAATAACCACATAGAAAATGTATTATTTAATCACTGCTTGGTCCATTAGTTTTAGTTTCTTATTGGCTAATTCTTACATCTTAATTTAACCCTTTTCTATTAATCTGAATACCACCACGAGGTCATGGCCTACCAAAAAATTTTCAGCACATCTACCTCCAGCAGTGGATCCATGGCATCCCTTGACTCTTCTTTCTTCCTCACAGAATTCAGTTCTGTCTTCTCCACCTACCTAAGTTCTGTTCTTTGAGCTAGGCCAAGGCAGTTTCTTTATTCATTAACCAATGAAAGCAACACACAAACAGAAGGACCTCCTATACCAGAACATCCTACAGAGAAAATAGTTTTATTGGTCAAAAAAAAACCATTAAATCCAAAAAATTATTAACACAAAACAGAAAATCTGGGACACCATGAAAGAACCAATCCTAAGAATAATAAGATAGAAGAAGAAGAACCCCTGCTCAAAGGCATAGAAAATATATTCAACAAAATCATAGAAGAAAACTTTCACAACCTAAAGAAGGATATACCATTGAAGGTTTATGTTATGAAAGAAGCTTTCTTAACACCAAATAGATTGGACCAAAAAAAAGTGCTCTCATCATATAATAATCAAAATGTAAAGCATACTGAATGAAGAAAAAATATTAAGAGATTCAAATAAAAAGGGTCAATTAACATATAAAGACAAACCCATCAGAATTACATCTGACTTTTCTATGAAATCCAGAAGATTCTGTATAGATGTGCAGTAGACACTAAGAGACCAAGGGTACAAACCCAGACTACTATACCCAGCTTTCAATCACCATTAATGGAGAAAACAAGTTATTCCATGGAAGAACCAGATTTAAACAACACCTATCCACAAATCCAGCCCCATGAAGTTACTAGAAGGAAAATGCCAACCCAAGAAAGCTAGCTGCACCCACAAAAGTGCAGGCAACAGATAATCCCCCACCAGCAAACCCCAAAGAAGGGAAACACACAAACACTACCTCTGAAAAATAACAGGAATTAACAATCACTAGTCATTAATATCTCTTAATATCAATGGACTCAATTTACCTATAAAAAGACCCAGACTAAGAGAATGGATATGAAAGTAGGATCCATCCTTCTGCTGTGTATAAGAAACAAACCTCAAACTCAAAGACAAACATTATCTCAGAGCAAATGATTGGGAAAAGGTTTTCCAATCAAATGAACCTAAGAAACAAGCAAGTGTATTATCTAACATGCTAATATCTAGCAAATAAGACTTCAAACTAAAATCAGTCAGAAGAACAATCCATCACAGGAACAATCCATCAAGATGAAGTCTCAGTCCTGAACATCTATGTCCCAAGTACAGGAGCACCCACATCTGCAAAAGAAGCG